CCGTGGCAGCCCCTCAAATATTGGAACATTGCTATCATGTCTTCCCTGGTCCTTCTCTTCACTAGACATACCAGTTCCTGCAACTGTTCATCGTATGTTGTAGCCTCCAGTCCCCTAATCATATTTCTTGTTCTTCTCTGCACTTTTTCTAGAGTCTCACCATCATTTTTATAGTGTGGTGACCAAAACTGGATGCAGGATTCTAGGTGTGGCCTTACTAAGGCTTTATAGACTAGTATTAGTACCTCACTTGATCTTGATTGCATCCCTCTGTTCATGCAATTTAGGATCGCATTGGCTCTTTTGGCTGCCGCTGCACACGGCTGGCTCCTATTTAACTGGTTGTCCACTAAGACTCCAAGATGCCTCTCACAGTGCCTGCTATTAAGCCTGGTTTAAGTGACTGCTATTAAGCCTGAATGGGACTCAGGTGGAGTTCCATTCACAGAAACCCCACACTGCATCCACTTCCTTAAGACTCTCCAATTCCATTTAGTTCAGAGTTGGACGTCTTCCAAGAAGAGGAGAAAAAATATATAAAACAAGGAATTGTGCCTGGGTAGTGCAAACAAGAGAACATCACACATAACTCCATATTTTTTTCCCCTTCAGAGTGGAACAAATTCACTCACACTCGTAAACATCTTGCAATGATGGCGATGATTAACTTAGCCACCAGGGTTTTTCCAAAATTTGCTAATGGGTGTCAGTTGTGGCTTCCTTCGTACAATGCTGTGTCCCTTCTACGGCTTTCAGTGCTATTTGTGACATCTTTAGAAAGGGATCCTTTTGTCAGTTTCAATAATGATTATTGATTGAGGATGTGCTGTCAGGTTGGTGTCGATTCTTAAATGACTACAGATAGATTTTTCCCCTTTTTCAGCTTTGAATCAAGTCCTCCCGCAGCTACTTTGCAAATGCCAAGGAAAAAAGAATGCCAAGAAAAAATGCCAAGAAATGCAAAAGGGAAGGAAGGAAGGAAGGAAGGAAGGAAGGGAGGGAGGGAGGGAGGGAGGGAAGGAGGGACGGAGGGAAGAAAGAAAGAAAGAAAGAAAGAAAGAAGGGAGGGAGGGAGGGGATAAGGAAGGGAGGGAGGGAGAGGAGGAGGGAGGGAGGAAACAAGAAAAGAAAGAAAAGAAAAGAAAAGAAAAAAGAAAGAAAGAAAGAAAGAAAGAAAGAAAGAAAGAAAGAAAGAAAAAGGGAGGGAGGGAGGAAGGGAGAGGACCAATAAAAGAGAATATTTGCAGCCTGGGGTTGAAATAAGGGATTGTTGGTGCCTTCTAAGCTTGCTTTTTTTTCTTGCAGTTGTTTCATGACCCAAACTAGGTAACCTCATCAGCCCTCAGAGAACAACTCAACTCTCTTCTAGCACTGATGATGTTACCTAGTTGGGTAATGAAATGTCTGCAAGAAAACAAAGAATCTGAGTAAGCACCAAGGATCCATCAGAAAGATAGGAAAGGGAGGGAGGGAGGGAGGGAGGGAGGAAGGAACTTACTTTCACTTTTGGAGGGGTGTGTGTGTGTGCGTGTGTGTTAAAACAGTTATGGCCTTGACTCCTTGCCCTTCTCAAAGACATTCCTGCCCAGTGACTTCATTTCCAGTTCTTGTAAGAGGAACTGGCTGAACCGAAGCCTCTTACCTTCCGGCACTTCCACTCTGAGCATCGGAAGTATCGATCCTGGAAACAGGAGACGCTGTTGACCCACTGGGGAAATGTCACCACACAGTGGCCTCTTTGCCATAGGCTGCTGCCCAGTTCCTTTAGGGCCAATCATAGTCTGGGTTTTCCTGCACTTTGGACCAAATGATCTTTTGTGATCTCTTCCGCCGTTCAGGGTGAGAATAACATATAACTCTTTCGAGTGACTCAACAAACATGTTTTGAGTACATCAAGGGAACATTAGAGGTGTTTGATGTTTGCCCAGTCAAGTAAACCTTATTATAGGAAGTCTTGTCTCATTTGAATGGATGTGAAACGGATGTCTTAACTCAGGGTTTTGGGACGGTGCCTTGTAATTCACTGAAAACCAATCATTATTAATCAGCTGTCTTTCTTATTTACAGTTCTGCAGCTTTGGTGCTATTAAATTCATGGACTCAAGATTGGCAAAAGACCAAAAAAGCTGCTCAGAAGTTTGTAGAGATTCTCAGTCATCCAAGTCACAGTTGTCCCAAAGGTGTTTTTTCAGGAAGCAACTGAGACTTCCTTGTTTTTTCTTTTGAAGATGTTTCCCTTCTCATCCAAGAAGCTTCTTCAGTCCTGACAGGTTATCCTATCATTCTTCCATTCCCCACTATCCTGTCAGAGCTGAAGAAGCATCTTGGATGAGAAGCCAAATGTCTTTAAAAAAAAACAAAAACAAAAAACAAGAAAGTCCAGTTGCCTCCTGAAAAAGCACCTTTGGGACTGCTGAGAAGTTGTTGGTGTCTATGTGTATAACCAAACAACACCAAGTCTACAGTGAAAGGTTGGCTCTGAAGTGCAATGATCAATACATGTCCTCAATTTCTGTTCAATTCTGTCAGTCAGTGCTTGAAATCTACCCCGCCTTCCATCTTCCTAAGGTGCTTGTTTCCTTCTTACTTGCAAAGCAGGTGGCAGCAGATCTTATTTGGGCTTGGAAGAGAAACAGACCAAGTCTTAAGACAGAAGATGGTATGGAAGGTTAGGGAAAAAAATCGCAAGCATGGCAACATTTCCATATTGTTGCCAGTAACACAAGCTGGATTAAACGTTCTTCATGCTTCCAAAACAAGAAATCATATCCTTATTTGGTTTGAGAAAGTGAGCAAGGAATAAAGGCATTGTTTCTGGACTAGAAGCCCCTTCCTTCACTCTCCCTACCCCCCCAGCCCATATTTTTAAAAGGCTGTATCTGTTACTACACAAAGTTACAACCACATTCTATTTGTGTGAATTTCCCAAATTCTTCCACTCCAGAACACACAATGAGTAACCTGATGGATTCTAAAGCGTTAAATCCTTTACTTTGTTTAACCACATGCGATCACTTGTGTGATGTAAAACACTGGTAGGAGATCCCTTGTAAAGTTGTAGCAGCCGTTGTGAAGTTGTAGCTGCCATTTTGACTTTTTTAACCATCCTGCCCCCGAGAATCTCCTGATTCCAGTCATTCATTTTAAATGGTGCCACAATAACATTTTAATAATGGTATAAACTGCATACAGAAATCAACGCCATCTTTTCTTTATAACCGTATTTCCATTCCTTCTGGTTTTCTATTATGTCTTTAATAAATTGCACAATTCAGTTACTTCGCATTTTCTTTTAATTTTCAATTCTTCAATAAAGCTCTCACCTCCAATACAGGATTGTCAAACAAACTTAAGAGACACTCAGGCATAGACACTAAGTTCATTTTTACGATCCAGGCCCTATTAACAAGGAATTTATGACTGAAGTATGATTTGGCTCTAATGCTACTTTTGTAGCTCAACTGTAGCTCAAATTCTTATCTCCCTTACAGATGCCACCAACTTTTAACAGTTTTCTGGGTCTGTAAAACAGTTGTATGCTGTTAAAATAAATGATGGCACAAGTGTTGTCTTGTTTTGTCACTTCTGGTGAGCAAGTGACCAGACCAATTATACTGTTATGCCAGAAAAGGAAGGATAGAATTCTTAGTCAACTCTGTAGACATTCTTGTCATTTCTGGAGCCAATCTCCAAAGGGAAAAAGCCAACAATTTCAAGGACACAATCTATGTGTGGAGAAGATCAGCTCTAATCCTGCATTTCAGTTTCATTCAATGAAATGCATTCCCTGGTAGCTCAGGAATAAGAATGGAGCACCCAACATCTGCAAAATCAATGATAAATTCACTTTTTGTTTTGCTCAGAATTATGGGGCTATTTCTGAGCAAGAATGCAGACTACCAAGCTCCATGCAAGGAGTATGGAAGGATGAAATTCGTTCTCAGAGTTAATTTAGGACTATTTGCTGCCCCAATTGGCTAAATTATAAAGTCTGGAAAACAAGCATCCTTGGTGGCCACTGAGACCTTGACCTGATTTTTTTTTTTATGACTCCCTTCAAAATAGAGAATCTCCTCTTCTGCAAACCTTGATGGAATTAAGGCAGTATGGAATTATTAAAACAGAACAGCGAATCAAAGTGTTCTGGGACTCTTCCCCTCTTAGAGATGCTCAATTTTGAATAAGAGAAGATACATGGAAATAAAAACTGGCACACCAAAATATTTACAGGCTGTGTTCCTACAATATGTTTAAACTTGGTTGACTGATAAATTTAACCATTTTCTTGATTTGAACAATAGATTGAACCATGGACCAAAAATAGATTGTTAGTCAAGAAACAACTATTTAACTGAGGGTAACAATAACCAAGGCTATATTTCTACATCCAGTAGAGGGCATCCTTATCCAAGCTGCAAAAATCTAAGTGAGCATAAGATGGCAGGAAAGAGATAATAAGTTTATGTGCAGGGCTCCTGCCACCCAGTGGCCAGTTCAATTTTTGCAGCCCAGAAATTAAGCTATGACACCAAGATTAAGATTATCTGAGAGGTTTCTTTATCCATTATAACTATGATAAGGTTATAGAAACATGAACACAGTATGTTCTTACATTCTTCTTCCTCTTCCTCTTCTTCTCCTTCCTCCTCCTCTTCTTCTTCTCCTTCTCCTCCTTCCCCTCCTCCTCCTTCCTTCCTTCCTTCCTTCCTTCCTTCCTTCCTTCCTTCCTTTCCTTCTCAAAATCTTGCCAAGTTTTCCAACAAGCTTTCCTTTTTTTGTAAACCCTCTGGAATAAGTTTTCAATCGAGTTTCTCCCTTTCAAAGCAGAAATGTTGATTTTTATTCAACCTTCTTGGAATAAGCATGTTTTAATTTAGACCATCCTTAGAGCTAAGAAAAATTTCCATAAATGACTGCCTGGCAATAATTCAGAAAAGACCAATTTTAAAATCACCGTTAACTCAGGCGATCACTTTGAAAGGCATAAAGACTTGATAAGGCAGTGTGTGAATAAAATTTATTTATTATTCCATCAACCAGCCACACCTTCATCAGGGTTCCGTAGACGTTAACAAAAATTGCATAGTTGTTACTTTCATTACTTTTAGTGGATTGCTCTGAACAGCTAACAATTTAATGCTCATTTATTCTTATATTTCTGACCTTGTTATGAACATCTGGGTGCATCTCTGTTCTCCCATGTTTTGGTGCTTTCTAAACCAACACAGTGATTAACAGAGCAAGAAAAATTGTGCTTTTCCCATATGAACTTTAAGTTGTCAACCCTAATAGCCTAAAAGACTTTCAGGAGGCGTATATGCAAAATACTTTGATCACAACCCATAATCCACTGCCCTGCGCTTCTGGACTGGAATAAAGTTCTCCAGCGCTAGGATTGTAAAAGACTCTCAGAAAACCGCTTAAAAGCAGACCCCAAATTGAAATGCCATCTGGAGGAAATCCTATTTCCCCAGCAATAAAATACTTCTGAAAAGGCAGTTGAAGTGCTACTTGGAAAGAGATGAGAATTGGATGGCATTTTTTGCCTCCTTGCATATCTATCAGGTAGGAATTCTACACAGCAGCATTTAATTTAATGGATGTTGTATTCCTCATACACCATAAAATTTAGGTTTCTCCAACAAAGTAGGAGTAGATTTTGAAAAACATAGTATCTGCAGTCATGGAACATAAAACATTAGGCTTGAAGGGACCTTGGAGGCCTTCTAGTCCAGCCCCCTGCTTAAGGGAGGAGATCCTATACAATTGCAGATAAGCGGTTGTCCAGTCTCTTCTTGAAAACCTCAGTGATGAAAGTCTGTAGAGATTCTCAGTCATCCAGGTCCTGGTTGTCCCAAAGGTGCTTTTTCAAGAGGCAACTCAACTTCCTTGTTTTTTCTTTTGAAGACGTTTCGCTTCTCATCTGAGAAGCTTCTTCGGCTCTGAATGGATGGTGGGGAATGGAAGGATTTATACTCCTTGCAGACAACTGGTCATTTGCATTCTTTTAGCGAGTCATTGAAGCACTTGGAGGTTGCTTCCCTCAAAAAGGATGCAAATGACCAGCTGTCTGCAAGGAATATAAATCCTTCAAATTCCCCACCATTCACCCAGAGCTGAAGAAGCTCCTTGGATGAGAAGTGAAACGTCTTTGAAGAAAAACCAAAAAAATCCAGCTGCCTCTCGAAAAAAGCACCAGTGATGAAAAACAATAGAATACAACAATAGTATTCTTCATCTTGATTAAGATGAATTCTTGATATTCATCTTAATTTGATATTCTTCAGTGTGAAACATTGAATAGCTGAAATCTCATGGGTGAAATCCTTTGGCATCTGTTATTACCTTGGCACTGAAATTTTCATTCCTATTTGGTTCTGCCATATGCCAGCATAGGGTTATTCCATTTAAAAGTCCCTCTTGTTTCAGTGTCAGAGCCCTGCTTACTTGTTGATCACACTAGAAAACAAGCAATGGCTTCGGGGAAGAAAACAAGAACCCCAACTTTTGCTGAACCAAGAGGATTGCCTAGAAAATGATGAGCCATAGCCTAGAGGTGACTTCAGAAGGATAAACCATGCGCTGTGACACGATATTAAGCTCTCCCTTTGTGTACTTGTATCACAATAATGCCTGCAAATATAAAAGGGGCAGAGCTCACATCCAGATGTCACCAGATGTTTTATCCCTTGAAGGATGCTAACATCACAGGCCCCATTATAGTTTGGGCTGCAAACACAGGACCCTATTAAAAATTATTTTCCTCATCTTTTAGAGCCTGCCGTTCACAGCAATCTGGGGATAAAATAAACCACAGTCAAAGATAGGGATAGAAATGCTTACTTTGCAAGAAAATATACATTTTACAAAATAAATTAAATATACACGATTTGCGCTTAAACTCTATATAGAAATTTTTTTAAAAAGTTTACGTTCTTATTTTCTTTCTTTCTTTCTTTTTACTGAATCTGCCTCGACTCCATTTTAATACGGTCACATCTTCCCCGTTTCTCCCCTCAGAACTGAAGTAAAATACGCACAAATTAGCAAGATGGATCCTCTCTTCCGTCTCTCTTTCTCTCTCTCTCTCTCTCAACCTACAAGTCGTACTACAGAAATAAATTTGTTCCTGAGAAACAGAGGAAATTCCGTTTGTTTCAAGACACTTCAGCTTATTTGTGTTGTCACGAAGAGGCTTTTCTGCTATAATCCATGAAAATCGGATTTACACCTCAGGTAAGGGAAGAATACGAGGCTGGGGGGGGGGATGACGCAGAGGAGTTCAAAAACTCCAAGATGTTGGCCTTCATTGACACGATGGCCTCAAGCAGGAGACCAAAGCCCATCCCTATTGAAGGCCTCCATCTTGGCTTTTGTGAAACCCCCCCCATCCCATAATATCCCTGAAGGCCACCCTGACCCTAAATTCTAAAAAAAAGTCAGCAGTTCCAGTTCATCATCACCATTTATCAATTTAGCTTGATCATAATTAAATATAAATATAAAAGTGAGCCATATATTGTTCTTCGTTTTGGGGAGGGAGGGGGGCAAGGGAAGGTTTCCATGGTTTTGCAGGAAGGGCTTTCTAGAGATTGAGGAGTTTGGTTATTGCTAACTATAAGGCAGCCTTTCTTGGCTTCACAACTTTGAAACGCACCGCCCCACAAACACACACACACACACACGCAACCCCCACACACTCATCCATCCATCTTCTTGGTAAGGCCACTCCAAGGCTTCCCTTTGGGCGTTGGCACTTTGGCGTTGTGCTGCTTGCTTGAAGAGGAACGGGGTTGGCTTGGATCATCTTCTGACCCTGTAGGTTAGCAGGCATCTGAAGCAGCTTTTCTCCAAGATAAAGCGGGCTCCTAAAGGAAAGCCTTTGCCATTTGGGAATTCCTTCATTACTCCTGGTCACAGTAACAACACACCCTGAACAAGACACCCCGTTTCGTTGTGTTGTCTTGTGTTATTTTGCCCCACGCCCTGGCAGTATCCGCTGATCTTCCGTGTCACAACGTTCTAAAATGGCAGTCTTTTAACACGGATAATGGATGTGCTGGTGTTGGTGTACCTTGCCTTCCACGTGTGAATGGGTGTGAGTGTGGATGTCTGTATAAATCTTTGGGTACATTTTGGAAGCCGCGCTGGAAGCCAGGACGGGCCCTTGGGTCAGCAAGTGTTGTTGCTGGGCTACATATTCCTCATAGTTTATGGAGGACAAGCAGTCTTTATCGGAGACCTGGGCTGTGCAGACCCGGTCTCGAGGCTGGGTCCTGTGTCCTGGAGTTGCAGCTGGAGGAGAACATGGCTTCTTCTTGGTTTGGCAAAGCCAGAGGACAATCGTCCCAAAGATGAAGACAGCCCCAGCTGGGATCCCAATGATGACAGGCCACGGTAGATTGCTGGCAGAAGAAGGTGCCATCGGTTGACTTGGGGTCTTGGGGTCTACATGACAGAAAGAACAAATAAAGGAGAAGAAGAATTAGAACCAGGCCAGGAAATGTCAGAATAGTGAGCTGGGTTTGGCCTCCCTTATCTGGCATCTTTCTTTTGGACATTTCAAAGCAGACACTGAGATGGAACTGAAGAATTTAGAAGAATGTATTCAAATATTTTACCAGTTTATCAAAATATAAAATACAGAAGTACAAAGAAAAAAAATGAAAATAAGGGAAAAGGGGAAGAGGAAAGGAGAAAAAGAAGAAAAGCATTGATTTCCGGTTCCTTTCGGTGCAGTAGAATAAGCTACTTTAAAAAACCCTCAATGTTTTACTTTTATATAGTAATATATACCAGCCGTTTCTATAATAACAAACCTATCTAATCAGCAAAACCCAAAATCAAAGTTTCATTTTTTTCCTACATCAAGCACAAAGTCCAGAAGTGGTTTCCAAGTAGAAACAAAATTAATTGTGCTCTTTTCTTTAAACAAAACAGTCGATTTTGCCATCTCTGCTAACCCCATCAACTTTTGTCACCATTCGGCCATTGTGGGAATCCGAACATCTTTCCATTTTTGAAGAATTTAGAAGAATGACTGGGAAACCAGAGAACTGCACTGGAATTATGTGACCAAGCCAATGCAACTCAGATTAACGTGTCACCAAGTTTTTTGTCACAGGCATTTTGTGAAGGCCAAACTGCCAACCTTTCTGGAGAAGTTGCGGAGACATCATGGTGTGCTCAAAAGGTTCTGGAGACGTTGAGGAGACACCAAGGTGTCTTTAAAAGCATTTTTTCAGCCGAAGAAAAAATGCTTTTAAAAAGTGTAAAAAAAAAAAGCCTTTGATGATCGCGCGGCTCAGCTGGGCATGGGCAGGGGGCCCACAGGGATTTTTGCTACCGGTTCTCCGAACCACCAACTGCCATCGCTACCGGATTGGGTGATCCAGTCCGAACCGGGAGCATTTCACGCCTGTTTCAAGGTCAGAAGAAAACATTCTCTCTCTTACATGTGAACAGGGATCCTAAACCTACAACAATAATTTGCTGGTTTGGAGTTGAGAAGAGAAGCTCCTTTAACCCTTTCTTCGCCTTGCACTTCTCACCACTAAATACACCCAAGGCAAAGGTGGGTTTCAGATAATTTTATCACCGGTTTGCCGTGCACCAAAAAGCTTTGCTCTCGTGTGTGGCTTGCACGTGGCTTAGAAAACATGGCTAAATAGGATACCACCCCTGATCCAAGGCTATTATAAATATTTTGCTTGTCATAACGATACTCTCTTCGGAGCCTATGGAAGAAAAACATCTGGCTGAGTTATTTAGAACAAGGAAGAGGTAAGGAAAGGAAGGTTAAGTATCCTTCTCTTCTTCAGTCCAAACAAATCTAGACCTACTCTTCACCAGATGGAGGTGATTGTTCAAAGTCAGGGACAGGGGCTCGCATGTAATCTGTAGTTCGGCCCTACGGCCTTGGTCTCCAGTCAGAGCAGAAACAGAATCCAATGTCACCAGATTTGTATGTACCATCCACCTTCCCTTCAGCTCTCAGAACCCAGAGATACATAGATGTTCCCATTATATTCTCCCCCCACCCCATGTATGGAGGGAACTATCTTTACATCGATAGTGTGTCTTCAGAAGTGGATAGCCAGATGTTATTCCATGAGGTTCAAAGCCTTTGCCAACAATTCAGCCAACGTTCTGGATCACTTCTGCACTGATGCTCTCTCTAAAGTTACAGAACGCTTGAAGGTTAATTAGTTCAATTTCTAGTATTCTGGTTTGAACTCCCCAGAATAATGCCTGGCTACCACCTCTGAGGAGTCCCAGTAAGGCTTAAACTGGTCATGTGGTGACCCCTGGTGATCATCGTAATGGATAATATAGTTCAGGATTGAAATGAGGGGTCCTGATGATGTTATTCAGTTTGGGTAATGAAACATCTTCAAGAAAAGCCACCAAGCTGAGAGCACCAAGGACTCCTGATGATCCATTGCTAGAACCTTCTCAATGACTCATTTTGGTCTGGGCAGAAGGTTGTGTGTAGACGACAAAGTTAATTTGCACTCCAAAACATGGCTTTTGTCCCCCAGGTGTTGAATAAAAGCAAGGCTTTTGTTTTCATATGCTAAGCTTTGTGGGACACATCTAGGATCAGATCTGTTAGGATAAAAATCCAGCCAAGTATTAATCGTTGGGATTAATAAAATGGGATTGACTCCCAAAGATAATTAAAGGACAATTTCTGCAAATTTCAACTTGAAATAAATTATAAAAAAGTGTGTCTTGCAAATACAAGGAGGGCCTTCCTTTTCAGACAGTGATTTGAGCATTTGTTATAAAAATTTGCACGCAAAACAGTTAACGGCTGGGCACGTCCACCTACCCATAGTTTTCTTTTTCTTTTTATCTTTATCTTTATCTTTTATTAGATTTGTATACCGCCCTTCTCCTTTCGGACTCAGGGCGGTGAACAGCCAAAATAAAAACATTTGTACACAAAAGTTAAAATAATTTTTAAAAATAATTAAATTTGGCCCATAATTTAAAACATTTCAATTAAAAATCAGTATCAAACATTAAAACCAACATGGAATCAGGCCAGCCCGGCTAACTGAAAAAAGTAAGTTTTTAGGGCCCGACGAAAAGTCAGGAGGTCTGGGATCACTCGTATCTCTGGGGGTAGATCGTTCCAGAGGGTAGATGCTGAGATGGACCAGCCTTAGCTTGATCTGCTCGTCTCAAACAGTGAGGAGTTTCCAATTCCTGTTCTACAGGAGATGAAAAAGTATTTCCCATTTCCCAGTCCAAGGTTTGGTAAGAAGCATTTTCCAGGATAATTATGGTGGCTGAAAATTTAGCTGCCTTTAGCCGACCTCAATATTAGCCGGTGGAAATGTTAGCCAACATTGACTTGAGTGAAGTTGATTTGGATACGGGTGATTATATGCTGAGAGCTCAAAATTCAGTTGCAAACACAACAGCCCTGAGTTTAAGAAAGCAAATTTAACAAATAACTACATCAAAGGTGTCAAACTCAAGGCCTGCGGCCATCCTGGAAATGGTAAGGAGCCGGCCTGCGTCACTTCGGCCACCCCATCCCGGCAGGCGTGCATGTGCACAGGAGGCAGCCAGGATGGTGAGGGCAGTGCCTGCACACGCATGTGCCTGCCCACTCCCCCCACCCGCCACCGGTCCACGGAGGACAACTACAATGCTGATCCGGCCTGCGAATAAATTGAGTTTGACACCCCTGATCTACATTAAAGGAAAACTCAATGGTCAATAGATTGATAGAAACATCTCACCTGGTAACACAGTAAGAAATGCACTTCGGAAGCTGTAACCCATGGTGTTTGCCCCTAGGCAAATGTACATGCCAGCATCTTCTTCCTTGGCGCGTGCGATCATAAGTTTGTTCAGGTAGGAGCCATCCGGACGAGACCAAACATCTCCAGTGGGCAGCACCACAAACTTCTGCCCCCCGACATCGATGGTGGAATTGTATCTGCTCTCCGTGCCATACTCCACTCTCTTCAGCCACTGGATCACCGGTTTCACGTCACTCCTCACCTTACACTGGAATGAGGTTGTTCCTCCATAGTCCACCGTGGTGTTCACAGGATGTGTCCCGGTAAGAATGGGTTTGGATCGTGTCCTCTCTAGAAATAAATAAGAGTTTTCTCTTGAGTAAGAGCTGTCTAAACCTTGCATGTTGTTAGGAAATGAGTATTACCTTCCTTGTTGGGTTTGGCAATATATAAACCCTCAATATAGCTTTAAGACTGCTGTATTGCATCATACTGTGTCCTGATTGGTTAGCTCTGTAGCCAATCTCCTTAAGAGGTAGCTAGAAACATGGTTTGTTTCTCTTTGCTGTTCTTGCTCTCTGATATCTCTGTATGCTACTGTTTGCTAATCCAGAAGAACTGTTTATTGTGAATGACTACGACGACTGGTAAGAAGACTTTGTTATTGGATTATCCCTGGACTGTCCTTTTGGCTATCTCCTGCTTTATATGTGTATGACTTGGACTGTTTATTGGACTGTGCCTTACTATTTCCTGAAAGTAAACACAACTCAGTGTATCTGTGTGTCGGCTGGGTTTATTCGTAACTACTCTCAATCGCTTTCATGTGCACACCCTTGCTACTCAAGGGTTACTCTGAGAATTCCTTAACACATGTGATACAGAATAACAATGTTGGGAGGGACCTTGGAGGACTTCTAATCCAACCTGCTGCTTGAGCAAGAGATCTCATGCCAAATAGTTGTCCTATCTCTTCCTGAAAACCTCCAGTGATGGAGAATCCACAACTTCTGGAAGCAAGCTATTCCACTGATGAATTGCTCTCCCTGTCAGCATTTTAGTTGTTCTCTAAATGCTAAAGAAGCCAAAGGCATCCAGAAACTAAAAAGAATCCACAAGGTTTGTTAATCTTCTGTAGAATCAATCAATTAACTCAATCCTTTCTAAATTAGAAGCTAGTATCATTCAATTATTTTTTTTAACACATAGCAACTCTTAACTGACATCTGCCTAACCAACCTGTCTTCCTCTCCCTTGCCCCGTGCATTTAATGAGAAGAATTATCGTTCTCAAAACTTAACGTTTCTTAATAAAAAAATCTATTAATTCCACTGATTCTGATCAGTCTGCAGCAAGACTGATGGCAAATTCAAGATGGACTTATATTTTCCTGGTGAAAATGGTCTGCCTTCTCTATATTTGGTAGGACTATAGTCCTATATAATTTATGTGGTACTTTGCTCAACAGTAGTAACTGTGAGCGGGATCTTGGAGTCCTAGTGGACAGAGCCGAGGTGGCACAGTGGTTAGAGTGCAGTACTGCAGCTACTTCAGCTGACTGCTAGTTCAGCAGATCAGCGGATCAAATCTCACCAGCTCAAGGTTGACTCAGCCTTCCATCCTTCCGAGGTGGGTAAAATGAAGACCCAGATTGTTGGGGGCAATATGCTATTTAGTATACTGTCTTTGGTGTAAGCCGGCCAGAGTCCTCGGAGAGTGGGCGGCATAGAAATATGATTAATAAAATAAATAATAATAAATAATTGCTTAAACATGAGCAGCAGTGTGCAGGAGCTGCCAAAAAAGCCAACACAGTTCTAGGTTGCATAAACAGAGGGAGAGAATCAAGATCACGTGAAGTGTTAATACCACTTTATAAGGCCTTGGTAAGGCCACACTTGCAATCCTGCATCCAGTTTTGGTTGCCACGATGTAAAAAAAATGTGGAGACTCTAGAAAGAGTGCAGAGAAGAGCTACAAAGAGGATTAGGGGACTGGAAGCTAAAGCATACGATGAACGACTGCAGGAACTGGGCATGGTTAGCCTAGTGAAGAGAAGGACCAGGGATGACATGATAGCAGTCTTCCAATATCTGAGGGGATGCCACAAAAAAGAGGGAGTCAAGCTATTCTCGAAAGCACCTGAGGTTAGGACAAGAAGCAAAGGATTGAAACTAATCCAGGAGAGAAGCAACCTGGAACTAAGGAGAAATTTCCTGACAGTGAGAACAATTAATCAGTGGAACAACTTGCCTCCAGAAGTTGTAAATGCTCCAACACTGGAAATTTTTAAGAAGATGTTGGATAACCATTTGTCTGAAGTGGTGTAGGATTTCCTGCCTAAGCAGAGGGTTGGACTAGAAGACCACCGAAGTTACTTCCAACTCTGTTATTCTATATTTCTATAATAAATATATAATAAAATATATAATAAATATATAATAACCAGAAGAGATCTACTAAGAAAAATTGCAGGGCCATTGCAGTAAACAACACAGATCATAAGATGTAGCTTGTCAACTACACCAAAATGAACATGGAAACGGTGGGAATCAACTCAGGGAAAAGCCACATTTCGATGGCAGGTGGACCAGGCAAGATTCCAGCAGCTCAGACAAAACAGCCAGAACATCAGACGATAAATCTCTTCTTTATCCCGTAGGATACACGAAGGGTAATCAGCCTTCAAATCTCCTTAATAGCAAAAATCTGGCAATTTATGCCTCTTTCTGTAAAGTTTGAAGAAAAAGACGCCATCCTTCTTTATCTGGAAAGGGAACGAAAGATAAATGGGAAGAGCTGAGCTGTGGCCGACGCCCGCCTGGTTTCGATGAAGGGGAAAATGCTACATGCTACATCCTACACGGAGCTGAGATTTGATTCATTTCCTTGTTTCTGCTCCTGGTTTTAATGTAAACACATGTTTTCACTGCTCCGCACAGCTGCGTCTTTATCAGTCCCAGATGTGGGACGGTCTTGTATCATCGACTCACAACGGGGATGCTCGCATGTGCTTTCCATTCACATTTTTTATGTAGCTGAAAAAGGATAGTCCATCGATGGGCTGCTTCAAGTCCTCTGATTGGAGAGGTTGGCCTTTGAGTAGAAAGTGCGGGCAGTCCTTGACTTACCAACATCCGTTTAGGGACCGTCCGAAATTACAACAGGAATGGGGAAAAAAGTGACTTATGGCCACTATGCACACTTACAACCGTGGAAGCACCCCCATGCCATCACTCTGCTAAACAACTACTTTCCACAACACTGTCCAACTACCGAGTAGGGCTGTATTACTATTATCCTTCTCATCTTTTCTATTACCTATTTGCTTATCTTCTTAGGACTACAATTTTGTTGCTTGTATCTTACGATTTATATTCATTGTTTTATTTAGGATCCTAGCATGATATATGTTGATTGCTTATTTAGTATCCTATGGCTATCCTTATGTGTTGTATCTTATGATTTATGGTGAATGTATTTTATGACTATTATGATCATGATTTATCACTTGTTGCTTGAATGTAGAGAGGTTCTGCACCAGAGACAAATTCCTTGAGTGTCCAACTTGGCCAATAAAGAATTCTATTCTATTCTATTCTATTCTATTCTATTCTATTCTATTCTATTCTATTCTATTCTATTCTACTCTACTCTACTCTACTCTACTCTACTCTACTCTATCCTATTCTTCATTCCACTACTCTACTCTACTCTACTCTACTCTACTCTACTCTACTCTACTCTACTCTACTCCACTCCACTCCACTCCACTCCACTCCACTCCACTCCACTCCACTCCATCTATTCTATTCATAGTGACATGATCAAAATTTGGATCTTGGCAACTGGCTCATATTTATGACGCTTGCAGTCTCCTGGGATCATGTGATCCCTTTTTGTGACTTTCTGACAATGAAAGTCAATGGGGAAGCCAGATTCACTTCACAACAATTGCAGTGATTCCATTAACAGCAAGAAAGGTCAAATAATGACCTTTGTTCTGACCCAGCTCCCCAAACACGACAAACCCTCTGAAGTGAACTCAAAGATTCCTTGATTAGGAGCGCCTGCAGCCCCGGCAGAAAGTTTCTCTCTCAATGCAGGCTAACAAGTCCATCCGTCCAGGAGATGAATGGTTGTCTGTCACATCTATTCATCTCTGCCTTTTATCCCCAGAGTTAGGGAGGGGCTTCACTAGCAGTGGTGGCTCTTCCATCCCGAGGACCGGCCCATAGATTTCCACTGCTCTCCTCTCCTCCGCCTTCTGTGCATCTACGCATCAGGCACTGGACCCAGCTGTTCCTCCTCCTCATCAGCCACCTCCAGACCTGGCGGCTGTTGACTCTCCATCTGAGGGCTGACGGATGGCCCAGGCTCTGCCTCTGCCTCTCTCTCTCTCTCTGACAACTCCACTCCCTCTTCCCCCTCAGAGCTCTCAGGTTGCCTTGATGCTGACTCTGACTTCCACGCCTCCTCCTCCTCCTCTGATTTGGCTGCTGGAGGGACCGGCAGCCGAGAGGCCACAACACCTGTCATGCCCAACTGTCAATCAATACTTACGGATCACTTCAACTTTGTAGGTGGCGTTGATTTCGCCCATCCTGTTAAAAACGCGGCAGGTGTATTTCCCGCTGTCCTCCGGCTTCAGGTTCTTCAAATTAAGTGTCCATCTCTTCCTCTTGTTCTCACCAATCTCCTGTGATGTGAGGGGCTTGTTGTCCTTTAGCCAGCTGATGTCCGGCCGGGGGTTGCCACTGGCCACACATTTTAGTCGAATCGAACTCCCCACCGGACGGGCGATCACCCGTTGTCTCATCTTTGCAGGCTGGGTGAATCTCGGTCGAGCTATAAAGAATAATAATAACAGAATTATTATATTAGAGAATAAAGAGAAGCAAAGTGTAGGAGGTTGGACTAGAAGACCTCCAGGGTCCCCTCCATCTCTGTTATTCTGTTATCAGAAAAAGAATCATTGAGGAAAAATGTCGTTAATCTGATAGCAAAGAATAATACGAACCTTTGTCTATAATATAGGATAGTGTTTTAGAAGACAAAGCTCATGTCTTTCCATTACAGCAGAATATAAATCACAAAACACAACACACACACACACACACACACACACATAAACACACACACGGACAAACATTTTTCTCAGCAACTGTTCGACAGAAATAACAGGTTACACCAAGCCCTGCTTTGTGTCGTCTGCTATGGTGCTTGTTGTTATTTACAGAAGTTTTTCAGAAGATTCCAACCTGTTAGGTATGAAATTTGGCAAGCTTTTATCTTCGTGGAAGGCACTTACATCTATCATGTATTTCTCTCTAAAAGGGCGGCGGGGAAGCAAATGAAATTTAGTAGATCCTAAATATTCTTTTTCAAGAGGATAAGATCTAATCGATGGAAACTAACCAAGGAGAGAAGCAACCTAGAACTAGGGACAAATTTCCTGACAGTGAGAACAATTAATCAGTGGAACAACTTGCCACCAGAAGTTATGAATGCTCCAACACTGGAGGTTTTTAAAAAGAGACTGGACAGCCATTTGTCAGGAATGGTACAGGGTCTCCTGGTTGAGCAGGGGGTTGTACTAAAAGACCTCCAAGATCCCTTCCATCTCTTCCCTTCCCTTCCCTTCCCTTCCCTTCTCTTCTCTTCTTATTCTAATTTTCTCCTCTCCTCTTCTTCTCTTCTCTTCTCTTCTTATTCTAATTTTCTCCTATTCTCCTCTCCTCTCTTCTCTTCTCTTCTCTTCTCCTCTTCTCTTCTCTTCCCTTCCCTTCCCTTCCCTTCCCTTCCCCTTTTTTCTCTTCTCTTCTCTTCTCTTCTCTTCTCTTCTCTTCTCTTCTCTTCTATTCCGAAGATAAGCCTATGTTGGTTTAACATTCTACTTCTACTACTTTCAACTCCTCAGCATCTGTTGGAGTGACTGTTTTAGTCATTTAACGGCAAGCCCACCTTACTAGTCTTCCAAGCAACCTTTCTGATCTCGTTCTGTCAGATTTCTAGTCTGGTTATTAAAGGGTTGAGATGGCTTGGATCATCTTGAAGAAAAGAAAGGAACCTCATTTGTGTTGGCTTGATTAAACCTATCATCGTCTTTCAGCGTGGCAGGCTAACGTTATCTGACTGTGGCACTTGTAAAATCTATTTTTCCCTAAGTGGCACCAGGGACTGTGATGATGGAGGATTATTTTAGATTGTGAGGTTGGAACGGGTGCCCTGAAGAGAGATGCTTTGATAGGCTGGAGTTAAGGTGTCAACTATACGCTGATAACTCTTTTCATCAGGTTGAAGAGAAACAGCTTCGTCTCAGCACCACTGTCTGACAGCTGTGATGGTCCAGATAAGAGAAATTCGGAAGAGACTGGACAGCCACTTATCTCAAATTATATAGAGTCTCCTGCCTGAGAAGGGGGTTGGACTAGAAGACCCCTAAGGTCTCTTCCAACTCTATTATTCTGTTATAAATGAAAGTTATAACTTATTTGAAGGACTTCTTTGCCACAAAGTTGATGGGTGTCAGCTTATTGTCCAAAGACAAGACCTGAAGACAAGACAAGAAACAACGGATGGAAACTCATCGAGGAGAGAAGCAACCTGAAATTAAGGAGAAACTTCCTAACAGTGAGAACAATCAACCAATGGAACAGAAGTTGACTTCAGAAGTTGTGGGTGCTTCATTACTGGAGGTTTTCAAGAGGAGATTAGACAACCACTTGTCTGAAATTATATAGAGCAGTGTTTCTCAACCTTGGAAGCTTGAAGATGGGTGGACTTCAACTCCCAGAAACCCCCAGCCAGCAGCGCTGGCTGGGGGATTCTGGGAGTTGAAGTCCACCCATCTTCAAGCTACCAAGGTTGAGAAACACTGATATAGAGCTTTTCCTATTTGAGTAGGGGTTTGGAGTAGAAGACCTCCAAGGTCCCTTCCAGCACTATTCTGATCGATTGACACATGGACCTAGGTGGGAGAGTATCAAGGCTTTCACTCTTGGTTTTCACCCCGTTCCCCTCCTGTTCAGCTCACCCTTCCCTTCTCACACACACACCCGGCCAACTTCATACTTCAAATGCATTCACGGGGGAACCTAGCTCCACATCTCCTTCTGCGCTCCCAAAAAAATGCTTTGAGCCCCAGGAAGAACAAATGCCTCGTCTCTCCACCCAATCTCCACCTTCTGGGTCTCGGCCACATCAGGAGATCTGATTTCAATCTCTTCTTCTTCTTGCCTTGCACCGAAATGCTTCTCTCCGAGGCTTTCATGTGTAACCTAATGAAGGACTCGAGCGGACAGCTGGAGTGACAAGTGTGACACCCTAGCTCTTTTGGGAAAGATGGGCCTGCAAATGCGGGGGTCTTTCCCCGATGATCTTGAAAGGGGGGTGGGCTGCAGAAACGCTGCACTCCGAGATGGTCTGGCGCAAGCATCGTTTCTGCTGCTAAGCAAGACAGGGGGTCAGTAACCCATTTTACGACAGTTGCTAAATGAACCACTTCAGTTGTTAGGTTAGCAACACAGTGATGACGTGAATCTGACCTCCCCATTGATTCTGCTTGTCGGAAGGTCCCAAGAATAACAGTAAAAATGCAATCCATATTAAATAAATTGGCCAATTAAAACTACCATCTTATTAGAAGACCACAATTTAAGATTGATGGGGGAGACAGGAGAATTCAGGGGTCCTTGGTGGGCTCTGGAGCTTGGTTGCTTTCTTACAAATGTTTCATTACCCAACTAGGTAACATCATCAGTGCTAGAAGGCAGTGGGGCTGATTCTCCTTTAATGGACTCACCAAGCAAGCCACTAGTATATAAAAAGAGAACAAACCCACTTCCTTCTAGTACTGATGATGTTGCCTAGTTGGGTAAAGAAATGTCTGCAAAAAAAACCCCACCAAGCTCCAGAGAGCCTCAAGATCTCCAGAGTTCAACCCTAAGCTACAAATATTCTCCATCAAAATCACATGACATGTTAGTACCACTTTATAATGCCTTGATAAGACCACCCTTGGAATATTACATGTGGTTTTGATTTCCATGATATGAAAAAGATGTTGAGACTTTGGAAAAAGTGCAGAGAAGAGCAACGAAGATGATTAGGGGGCTGGAGGCTAAAACATATGAAGAACGGTTGCAGGAACTGGGCATGGCTAGTTTGATGAAAAAGAGGGAGAAAAGGGGAGACATGATAGCAGCCTGCCAATATCTCAGGGGTTGCCACAAAGAAGAGGGAGTCAAACTATTCTCCAAAGTATCTGACGGCAGGACAAGAAGCAATGGGTGGAAACTAATCAAGGAAGGAAGCAACAAAGAAGTAAGGAAAAATTTCCTGACACTGAGAACAATTAATCAGTGGAACTACTTGCCTCCAGAAGTTGTGGGTGCTCTAACACTGGAATTTTTAAAGTGGTGGGTTGCTACCGGTTCACCCCGGATTGGGCGAAACAGTAGCAGCAGTGGCGGCAGGAGGCTTCACCCACCTGCTCGGATGTCTCTGCGTATGCACAGAAGCATCACGCGCATCAGCAGAAGCGTTGCACACATACACGAGTGTGCACGTGCCCACGAGCGAACCGATAGCAACAGGATTTGAAACCCACTATTGAAAAGAAGGGATTGGACAACCATTAGTCTGGAATGCTATAGGGTCTCCGGCTTGAGTAAGGGGTTGGACTAGAAGACCTCCAAGGTCCCTTCCAACACTATTCTTCTGTTCTTCCTCTATTGGTACAGCCAGGAGAAGCATCTAGAGCAGACTTTCTCAAACTTGCCAACGTTAAGATGTCTGGACTTCAACTTCCTGAATTCGATTTTCTTCACTGCAAATTTTGAAAGTCAGTGAGAAAACTCTCAGTATACTACATCAGGATCCTGTGAGTTAAGTTAATCATCCATCTAGGCCTGCTCCCACACAGATCTGCTTGTAGGCTCGAACCCAAGAAAACAAACTCCTACTTCTGAATGTCTATGGAGATTCTCCGTCATTTATGGTAGCGCAGTGGTTAGAGTGCAGTACTGCAGGCTCCTTCTGCTGCCTGCAATTTGGCAGATCGAATCTCACCAGGCTCAAAGTTGACTCAGCCTTCCGTCCTTCCGAGGTGGGTAAAATGAGGACCCAGATTGTTGGGGGGGGCAAGAGGCTGACTCTGTAAACCGTTTAGAGAGAGCTGCAAAAGCATTGTGAAGCGGTATATAAGTTGAAGTGCTATTGCTATCCAGGTCAGGTTGTCCCAAAGATGCTTTTTCAAGAGGCAGCTGGACTTTCTGGTTTTTCTTTGAAGACGTTCTTATCCAAGAAGCTTCTTCAGCTCTGACTGGATGGTGGGGAATGGAAGTCTTCAAAAAAAACCCAGAAAGTCCAGTTGCCTCTTGAAAAAGCACCTTTGGGAGTCCTCTTTCCGAATGGATAGAAAAATTCTCAGGTTTGCATTGGCTCCCTAAGAATAGAAGACCAGCTTTTCCTGCTCCTGGGAGAACAATCAGACTTCCACAAAGCCCTCTGAACTCCCTCTCTCTTCCCTCCTGTCTCAAGCCTTCAGTTTAGTCATTGTCTCTCTTTCCCTCTCTCTCTCTCTCTCACACACACAGAGAGACTTTTAAAAACCAGGAGGTAAGACTATATCTCTGTAGCTGCCTCCTTTTCTTTCTTTCTCCCTTTGAAATGGGTTAAGTGATTAACTTCCCCTCGAAAGCTGCTCTCCATTCTTTGGTGTGAGACACTGAAACCAGATCTCCAGTTAAACAGTTGTGAAATGTCTCTCTTTCAAAAGGGGGGGGGGGAAAAGGAAGGTAAGAAAGGAGGAGAAAGACAGTTACAGGAGAGGAGGGAGGCAGGGAGGCAGGGAGAGAGACAGGGAAGGAGGGAGACAGAGAGACAGGGAAGGAGAGAAAGAGAGAGAGAGAAAAGGAGGAGGAGGAGGAAGAGGAGGAAAGGGAGGGTGGGAGGGAGGGAAAATGGAAGGATGGAATGACAGAAGGAAGGATGGAACAATGGAAGGAAGGAGGGAAGGGAGGGAGGGCATGGGTTTTTTTTAAAAAAAAAATCTTCCACGTTGGATTACTTCTCAATCAAAAATCCTCCTTTAGTTGCATTCTTTTTTTGAAAGTCCCATAAGAGATGGGTTAAATACCAGCTTTTTTGCACCCGATTCAAACGCAACCCTGTTGTTTAAAATCGTAGAATGAACTCTTAGACTGAAATCACCCAGATACGCAGAAAGAAAGAAAAATTTGGACAGCGAGTGCCTGAAGGAGTGTTTTGTTCTGTTCTGTTCTGTTCTCCATTCCATCCCATCCCATTCCACTCCACTATACTTTACTCTATTTCTTGTTCTGTTCTGTTCTCCATCCCATCCCATCCCATCCCATCCCATTCCACTCCACTCCACTCTACTATACTTTACTCTGTTTCTTATTCTGTTCTGTTCTCTTCTCTTCTCCATTGTTTAAAATCGTAGAATGAACTCTTAGACTGAAATCACCCAGATACGCAGAAAGAAAGAAAAATTTGGACAGCGAGTGCCTGAAGGAGTGTTCTGTTCTGTTCTGTTCTGTTCTCCATTCCATTCCATTCCATTCCATCCCATTCCATCCCATCCCATCCCATCCCATCCCATCCCATCCCATCCCATCCCATTCCATCCCATCCCATCCCATCCCATCCCATTCCATTCTAATGGCCCGGATTTCTTTGCAGGTTTCTGCTTAGGGTTAGGAGTTTGTCCAGTTCAAGTTTATTGAGCTGGCCTTCTCACACATCCAGGAAGAGAGACAAACGGGTGTTACAATGCCATAAAAAGACAGTCACTCTGACACACAGAAAGACGAAGCTATCTTAAGAATGCCGGTCTTCTGCACCGAGAATGTGGAACACGTCACTACCGATGGGGCAAAAGCCACACGCGGCATTCTTAGCATGTGACCTCGCTGTCACACAAATGGAAGAGCAACCAGCCAAGGATGCAAGAAATCCAACGCACTTTTCTCCTCCTTTAGGTGGAAGGACGTTGGAAGCCTCCTCTCCAAGGAGGTGATAAGCAAGCTGAGCTGAGGCCAAGGGTCAGTGGGGCTCCCTTTGGCACAACTGAAGGGCCAGTGGAGAACCGGCCCTTCGCCTTTGAACAGTGGCAGAGGGGAGAGAAGGGGAGAGATCCAGTCTTACCCCAGAGCTTCCCTGCATGATCTTCTGAGTCACTGTTAGGGTTTTCAGGTCCCAAACTCTCCCTTCCTGAGCTGGCATCATCTGGGTGGAAAAGGAAGGGAGGGAGGGAAGGAGGGAAGGAAGATGGCAGGGGATGGGTGGATGGATGGGTGGATTGATGGATGGATGGATGATGAAGGAGGGAGGGAGGGAGGGAGGGAGGGAAGGAAGGAAGGTGGCAGGGGATGGATGGATGGATGGATGGTGAAGGAGGGAGGGAGGGAGGGAAGGAAGGAAGAAAAGATGGCAGGGGATGGATGGATGGATGATGAAGGAGGGAGGGAGGGAAGGAAAGAAGGAAGGTGGCAGGGGATGGATGGATGGATGGTGAAGGAAGGAGGGAGGGAAGGAAGGAAGGAAGGAAGATGGCAGGGGATGGATGGATGGATGGATGGATGATGAAGGAAGGAGGGAGGGAGGGAGGGAAGGAAGGAAGGAAGGAAGATGGCAGGGGATGGATGGATGGATGGATGGATGATGAAGGAAGGAGGGAGGGAGGGAAGGAAGGAAGGAAGATGGCAGGGGATGGATGGATGGATGGATGATGAAGGAAGGAGGGAGGGAGGGAAGGAAGGAAGGAAGATGGCAGGGGATGGATGGATGGATGGATGGATGATGAAGGAAGGAGGAAGGGAGGGAGGGAAGGAAGGAAGGTGGCAGTGGAATGGATGGATGATGAAGGAAGGAGGGAGGGAGGGAGATGGTAGAAGGGAGGGAGGAAGGGAAGGGAGACCCAGGGAAAAAGGGAAGAAAGGAAAGAAGAAAAATACATTAATTTTTAAAACATAGTAGTGTTTGAGTCAATAGTAAGAACATATTTTATTCCATTCCAACTGAGTTAATGTGTTCCTTGCCTGTGCAGTTTATTTCCTGGTTTGTGTGTTTATTAAAATTTATTTTTCCACTGGCTTCTACCATGATGGCAGAGTAATTAATGCTACCATGAATAGTCAACTGAAGACCCTTTGTTTATGTTTATGGCTCATGTTCCCCGGGAGAAGATGGAGCTGTTTTACGTTCCTTGCAAATGATGGCATAAATCAAAATTACAGCAGAAAAGGTAATAGAAACTTCTGGGAATCAGTCATAGTTTGACGCTTAAAAAGAAACCAAGAAGTGGAAAAGTTGTTTAAATATTTGCCACTTTGAAGATGTTGGCTTATTTAGGTCAGGCATGGGTCAAAATGGAACTCTGTAGGTAACCCTGACAACATTGATAATGCTACCTATTTTGGTAATGAAACGTCTAGAAGAAAAACCACTAAGCTCACAGAGCACCAAGGACCCCACAATTCTCCTCCTCCTCTCCACAAACCCCACTCCCTTCTAGCACTGATGGGGATACCTAGTTGGGTAATGAAATGTCTGCAAGCAAACAAACAACCTCAGAGAGCACCAAGGACTCTACGGTTGTTCTGCTCCAGCTACGGACCCCAAAGAACGCAGCACACACAAAGTCCGTACAAACCTTAGTTTACTAATTAAGGACTACTAATGAGCTTTCTTAGTAGCTGTCTGAACACAAGTACAGTTTAAATCAGTCTTTTCTGAACAAGGGCTGTTAATTTAACTTCATTAACAGCCGACAAGAACCCAAAGAATAATAACTCAATTCTGAGGTACAGTATTTCAGATAACCGTAATCTTACTGTGGTTGGCAGAATGCCCAGAAGCAATTTGCAGGAAAACTGACAAGAGAGAAACAAGAGCCGAATCAAACATTTCTGGAATCAAGACGCGAAGGAATATGAAGTTGTTTCCTGCAAATTGCATCAGTCGTCGTCCTTCCTTAAATAGACTAGGGGAGTGGCCAATTAGCCCCAAGCCTTACTCTCAAGGAGACTTCCTCCTGAAGAGCTACTCCTGCCTTTTGGCAGCTCTGCGCACCCGTGCATCGAGAAGAGGCTCCTCCTCTTCTTCCTCTTCACTTATGGGAGCTTCTGGAGGTTCTGAAGGCCCTGGCTGAATCCCCGCCTCTGGCACCACATCTTCTCCAGCCTCCTCATTGTCCGACTCAGGCTGCTGGCGCAGCACCACACCAGCCTCCTCGCTGTCGGAATCAGCTACTAGCTGCACAGGTCGCTGACGGGCCACAACAACAGTTCAATCCTGAGCTACACAGATTTTCTTCTTTCTCCAATTCTACCATGTTAAGCTCCCTTCAAGGAAGCAACCAGAGACCCATAATATACTCAGCTTTCCTACTGCCTACCTCTTTCTTCTCTTAGTTCCAAATCAACCACCCCATTGCTAGACTGCCATGTTCTCAAATGGACTGCTGAAAAATTTAGTACCAAAAGAGATCACTCTACTCCTTGTCTTGAATATTCAATTAAAAGAAGAGGAGTTTCCATCCAACTTGGCGCAGGCCTGAGACTTCTTCCTGCGGGGAACTCCGAAATTGTGGTTTTCTGACTGCATTGAAGTTCCCTGTTAAAATGCTAAGTTCCTTCTGAAAGCATGATTTCTGGAAGTAACTTGAACAGATTTTCCAGACATGCAAGTGAATGGCTTTCTCTGTTTTGAAATATTTTTCCGGAGGTATGAGAGGTCCTGACTGGAGTTCATTTCTTCTGAAATCTCTTTTATGGGCCACAAAGTAAAGTTGATATTCAGATTAATCTATCATCTGTCTGTCTGTCTGTCTGTCTGTCTGTCATCTATCTATCTATCTATCTATCTATCTATCTCTCATCTATCTATCTATCTATCTATCTATCTATCTATCTATGTCTCATCTATCTATGTCTCATCTATCTATCTATCATCTATCTATCCCTATCTATGCCTCATCTATCTATATCTATGTCTCATCTATCTACCTATCTCTATCTATCTATCTATGCCTCATCTATCTATCTATGTCACATCTATGTCCTATCTATCTATCTATCTATCTATCTATCTATCTATCTATCTATCTATCTATCTATCTCTATCTATCTATCTATCTATCTATCTATCTATGTCTCATCTATCTATCTATCATCTATCTATCTATCATCTATCTATCTATCTATCTATCTCTATCTATGCCTCATCTATCTATATCTATGTCTCATCTATCTATCTATCTCTATCTATCTATCTATGCCTCATCTATCTATCTATCTATGTCACATCTATGTCCTATCTGTCTATCTATCTATCTATCTATCTATCTATCTATCTATCTATCTCTATCTATCTATGCCTCATCTATCTATCTATGTCACATCTATGTCCTATCTATCTATCTATCTATCTATCTATCTATCTCTATCTATCTATCTATCTATCTATCTATCTATCTATCTATCTATCTATGTCTCATCTATCTATGTCTCATCTATCTATCATCTATCTATCTATCTCTATCTATCTATCTATGCCTCATCTATCTATCTATCTATGTCACATCTATGTCCTATCTATCTATCTATCTATCTATCTATCTATCTATCTATCTCTATCTATCTATCTATCTATCTATCTATCTATCTATCTATGTCTCATCTATCTATCTATCATCTATCTATCTATCTATCTATCATCTATCTATCTATTATCATCTATCTATCTCTATGTCTCATCTATCTATCTATCTATCTATCTATCTATCTATCTATCTATCTATCTATCTATGTCACATCTATGTCCTATCTGTCTATCTATCTATCTATCTATCTATCTATCTATCTATCTATCTCTATCTATCTATGCCTCATCTATCTATCTATGTCACATCTATGTCCTATCTATCTATCTATCTATCTATCTATCTATCTCTATCTATCTATCTATCTATCTATCTATCTATCTATCTATCTATCTATGTCTCATCTATCTATGTCTCATCTATCTATCATCTATCTATCTATCTCTATCTATCTATCTATGCCTCATCTATCTATCTATCTATGTCACATCTATGTCCTATCTATCTATCTATCTATCTATCTATCTATCTATCTATCTCTATCTATCTATCTATCTATCTATCTATCTATCTATCTATGTCTCATCTATCTATCTATCATCTATCTATCTATCTATCTATCATCTATCTATCTATTATCATCTATCTATCTCTATGTCTCATCTATCTTATCTATCTATCTATCTATCTATCTATCTATCTATCTATCTATCTATGCCTCATCTATCTATCTATCTATCTATCTATCTATCTATCTATCTATCTATCTATCTTTCATCTATCTATCTCTCATCTATCTATCTATCTATCTATCTATCTATGTCTCATCTCTCTCTGTCTCTCCCCTCCCTTCTTCTATCTCTCTCTCATCTGTATCTATTAATCCTTCCATCCACCCACCAGTCTACAATCAATCCTAACTCTAGGGCTGCTGAGAGAGACACATATAACACCTGGTTTGTTCTTGTATAGTGTATCTTTGTGGACTTAGCTGGTTCCTAGTCCAACAGCAAAAAGCAACACATTTCACATTTGTCAAAAATACACCCAAGTGTCCACGCACAAGTTCACTCTGCTTCTGGGAACATTAACATTCTCGATCGCGCTGAGAATTTCCTCTTAGCCACTGTTATGTCTGTAAGACCCCATTCACAGACATTACAGACCTCGGTTTGGGATCTGTTCCCATATGGATTCTATATGAGATAATTCACGTACAAAAATGAATATTAAAGCCATATTGCCTATCAAATAAAGAGTTATTTATTTCATTCTGAGTTTATCCGTAGCCAATCATTCTGACATCCAGGAATTGAACCTATCTATGTTTTAGTGTTCAAAACAGCAATATAAGAGCCTTGGTAGTACAGGGGTTTAAGGCACCCTGTTATTAAGCTTATTAAGACCAGCTGTCTGCAATTACTGCAGGGTTCGAATCTCGCCAAGGCTCAAGGTTGACTCAGCCTTCCATCCTTTCTAAGGTAGGTAAATTGAGGACCCAGTTTGTGGGGGCAATAAGCTGACTTTGTATAAATATACAAAAGGATGAAGGCTATTGCTGAGCACATTGTAAGCCGTCCTGAGTCTTCGGAGAAGGGCGATATATATATATATATATATATAT